TTAAAGCAATTTGAATTTTTTGGGCGAGTGCTTGAACTTTGAGGCCTGGCCCCGCCCCTTCATTATTTACGAAAAGTCAATTTTATTTATTTATTTGATTCATCCATCGCTTCTGTTCGATCGCACACTATTTTTGAGACAATCGTGCGAAAAATGACCAAACTGTTCAACCAAATGTAGACCCTAGAAATGGCCAAAACGGGGTCAAAATGGCCACTTTAGTCCAAAATGGTCGACTTCCTGTTTGATATTGACCATGGGTGCAAGAGGCTTTTCTGTGCGTATTGTTGAGTTCTACAAGTGTACCAAATTTCATCGATCTACTATGAAAAAAGGTCAAAGCAGAGGGGTATTTTTAATTTTCTAGGGGAAGCTGTCGAAACATTTTTTTACCAACTTTCACGGTGCCAGTGAAATACGTAAATTTCACGCACTTTCTATATTGGGCCAGAATTTGGTGAGTTTTTGGATATGCTAAGACCCCCTAAAGGCCACCCAAAGACGCGGAAGAAAAAAAAAAAAAAAAAAAAAGAAACGGAGCAGATACAATACGCCTTCGCAGCTTCACTGCTCGGGCCTAAAAATAAACGGAGCAGATACAATAGGCCTTCGCAGCGCTTCGCTGCTCGGGCCTAATAATAAACGGAGCAGATACAATAGGCCTTCGCAGCTTCACTGCTCGGGCCTAAATATCATTTCTATAGCGCGCCTCAAGATAAAAATCACGAGGTGCTTAACAAAAACCAAAAATATAAAAAAGCATTTAGAAAATGTTTAAAAATATATTTAACATGAGCAAAAATAGACAAAATGTGATTTAAAAGATGATAAGAAAGAGAGAGAGTGAACAGGAAAGAGGGAAACCAGTGGATCCTGAGGAAGGTGGAATAGGTGGGGAGAGCAGAATAAAGAGAGAGAGGTGAAGAAGGTCATACAAAAGCCAGCTTGAACAAGTGAGTCTTCAGCTGCTTTTTAAAGGAGACCACTGAGTCCACTGATCTCAGGCTCAGGGGGAGAGAGGTCCAGAGTCTGGGGGCCACAGCAGCAGATGATCTGTCACCTTTGACCTTTAGCCTGGCACTGCACAACCAGTAGGCTTTGGTCACTGGACCTCAGGGACCTGCTGGGGGTGTAGGGACTGAGAAGATCACCATTGTAAGATGATGCTTCTTAGGTGTGTTCTTGCTCTGTCGTGGTTCTAATTCCATGCTTTCGTTCTTTTTTAACACAGAAACAGTTTTGTTTACCTGTTTTGTAGCTACAGTTTCGCCGACAGCTGCCTGCGTCTTCAGGCTGACGCTGATGGTGGCGCGTCACTTCCTTCTCCGTTTATCTGCGGGCAGCAGAGAACACAGAAAGGAGTGCGAGAAAGAAACAAGTGGAAAACACACAAGAGCAGCAAAAGAAGAAGCAGAAAGTACAATAAAGAAGTCAGCCGTAACAGATCATTGCTTAAGAGAAAACCATATAATGGACTGGGACAACACAAGGATCATAACCACCGAACAACAAAAATACAAAAGATGGATCAAGGAAGCAATCGAGATAAGGAGACGTTGATGTGGGACCATGAACAGGGACGACGGAGTTTACACACTGGACCTCGCATGGGACTGCATCGTCGGAGAGGGGAGAGCGGGCAGTAGAGGGCGACAACGTCCTCTGCTGCCCGCAGATAAACGGAGAAGGAAGTGACGCGCCACCATCAGCGTCAGCCGTCGGCGAAACTGTAGCTACAAAACAGGTAAACAAAATTGTTTCAGTGTTTAAAAAGAACGAAAGCATGGAAGATGGTGCTTGTCCATGTAAGGCCCCATAGACCAGAACCAGGATCTTGAAATGAACCCTGAAGTTGACTGGCAGCCAGAGAAGCTGGAGGAGAAGCGGGGTGATGTGGGTGTGTTTGGAGGACTTGGTCAGAAGCCGAGCACAGGCATTCTGAACCACTTGTAGACGGTTCAGGGAGGTTCTGCTCAGACACGTGAAAAGAGAGTTACAGTAGTCTAAGCGTGAGGAGATGAAGGTGTGGAGAACTGTCTCAAGTTCAGAGCGGGACAGAATTTGACTCAGCTTAGCAACGTTCCTGAGATGGAAGAAGGAAGAGCCAACAAGAGAACTGACATGAGAATCCAGGGTGAGAGCTGGGTCAAAGGTCACACCAAGATTCCTGACGGAAGGTTTGGTGTGGGAAGCAAGCTGACCAAGAGAGTCTCTGACTTTGGGAACCAGCTTGTCTGGGGCACAGATGAGGATCTCAGTCTTATCTTCATTCAGCTGAAGAAAGCTCCCACCATCCAGGTTTTGCTAGAGTCTAGGCAGGTGTGTAACAGCTGCAGCTTAGACATCTCATGGGGCTTAAAGGAGATGTACAGTTGGATGTCATCTGCATAAAGAGAGAGATAAGAGGAGAACCACTCCAGAGCAGATCCTGATAGGCCTACCCAGTCTCTCAGCCTTTCCAGTAGCAGGTGATGGTCAACAGTGTCAAAGGCTGCAGTCAGGTCCAGCAGGACCAGAACAGAACAGTCCCCTGCATCACTGAGAGTCAGAAGGTCATTAGAGACCCTAAGAAGAGCTGTTTCAGTAGAATGAGCTCTACGAAAACCTGACTGGAAGCTATCATTGATGTTATGTTCATCAAGAGCAGCTGTGAGTTGTTTAGCCACAACCTTTTCCAAGATCTTGGAGATGAACGGAAGTTTAGAGATGGGTCTGAAGCTGCTATGGAGAGAGGGGTCGAGACTCGGTTTTTTAAGAAGCGGGTGGATTACAGCGTTCTTAAAGTAAACAGGGACCTGACCAGAAACCAGAGAAGCATTAATTATAGAGAGCACGCTGGGACCGATGGACTGAAAAGCACTTTTAAACAAAGATGAGGGTAAGATGTGGAGGGGGCATGCAGAGGTCTTCATAGAGTTAACTAGTTTGGTTAACTCAGGCAAAGAAACAGGAGCAAAGCTATCTAGGATGATGGGTCTGGTTGGAGTCAGGAGAGGCAGCGATAAGGCTGAAGGAGAGATGCTAGATCTAACCTTATTGACTTTGTCCACAAAGAAAGACAGAAAGTTCTCACAGTCTGCAACAGAGTGGATGGAGGCTGTAGGAGAGGCAGGAGAGACGATGCTGCTGATGGTGTTAAACAGCACCTTGGGGTTCCCTTTGCTCTGGGACACCAGGTTGGAGAAATAGGAAACCCTGGCGTCTGACTGCAGAGTTAAAGGATGTCAGAAGATCCTTTAGGTGCAGCAGATGGACGTGGAGATGGGTTTTCTTCCACAAGCGCTCAATTTTTCTGCATTGGCGCTTTAGGTTGCGAAGGCTGTCCTTAAACCAGGGAGTAGGGTTCACTGCAGGAACTGATCTGGTTCTGACAGGACAGATGTTGTCCAGAATGGGGAGGCAGTGCTCGTTAAACTGAGAAGTTAAGGAATCTGGGTCGTTCTCAGAAGAACAGGGTGGATCAAAAGCAGCAGAAAAATTGCTAGCTGTGCTCTCGTTAAGAAAACGAGAACTAACCATACGGCGAGCAGGAGGTGGGGACGCAGAAACTGACAAGTTAAAGAAAATGCAATGGTGATCTGAAATATAAACGTCCTCAGGACAAACACTGTCAGCATTTAGACTCAGGGTAAAAACAAGGTCTAGAGTGTGCCCCCTGGTGTGTGTGGGGCCAGAAACATGCTGGGTAAAGCTGAAGGAGTCCATAAGGCTGGAGAAATTCATGGCAAAGTGATCAGAGGGATCATCAACATGGATGTTAAAGTCACCAACAATCACCAGTCTGGACAGCTTCACAGTGGAGGATAGAAAGTCACTAAACTCCTGAAGGAAAGAACTGTTTGGACCAGGTGGACGACAGACCACAGCACAGTAGAACGGGTCCTTATGCCCAACTTTAATCAGCTGCATTTCAAAGGAAGCAAAGTGACCAGAGGTTGTAGAGCTACATGGAAGATGGTCTCTGAAAACAACAGCTAGGCCTCCACCACGACCAGAACCCCGGGGCTGGCTAAGAAAATAATAACCACTCGGGCAGAGATCAATCAGACCAGAATAATCAGATGTTTGCTGCCAAACTTCAGTCAGAAACAGAAAATCCAGGTTTTTAGACAGAATTAGATATTTGAGCAGGAAGGTTTTATTGTTAACAGAGCGGGTGTTTAATAGAGCCATGCTGAGTGAGGTGGAGGAATCAGAAACTACAGAAACAGCTGGAGTTAGTGGACGTAAATTAGCGGGGTTAGATCCATGGTGTTTATAAAAACCACTTATGGAGGTAACAGAAAGAGAAACCACTGAGAAATGAGGATAAACCGACCTTAAAAAACTTGGACGGATGAACTGCGCCGTAACGCGGCCTGGCGGGAATGCGGAAGTGGCGCTCAGGTCACCAAACAAAGGACAAGAAGCTAGAAGATCGCGCGGATGTATACCAGATAAACCATGCTTTAAGAGAAGTCTTATTCTCACCTGGATTCCTGCTCGTTTACCTCTTTTCCTCCGACGTTTTCCCGAGACCGGATAAACATAGCCGGAGGCAGGCAGCTCGGGACCGTCGTTTGGCTCCGGGCCGGTGCGCCACTCAGGAAAACAAAAAGGATGGTACGTCCTCGGTGCGTCTTGGGCGATCGTGAACGAACGGAAGGACAAAAGAGTCTGGCGATCATAGGAGATGGTAGCAGGGACACTACTGAAGAGGATCGCAGACAGGAGCAAGGTGGAAAAGAGGAGGTTAGTGGAGAAAAGTTTGAAAAAGTGGCCGGTGACTGCGGCTAAGCCAAGCACAGGCGCTATCTTGTTGCCGACCGGTAAACGCAAGTTCTGCGTATGGATCAATGAATAGTTTTATTTTGCTGAGCGTTGATGCGTGAACATCTTTCCAGGAACGAATACAGCCCTTTTAAGTTAAAATTCAGCATACCTTAATAACACCACTCATGCCATCTCTCACTTGTGACCTTGCTGGTGTGTGTGTTTGTGTGTCCATGCATGCCCTGCAGGAAGCAGCACTTCGCTGTAATAAGAAGTTTCCTACAGAGCTGGAAGATGGTGAAGAGCTGCTGAAACACCTGTTAGACTGGGCCTTTGGAGGCTTTCAACCATCTGGTCCAGCTGGATTCAAACCAGCCAATGGTATGAACCATTAATGAAGAAAGTAAAACATTGCAGAAGATGTCTGTCAGCCTGAAATATTTTTAAACTGTCTGATAAAATAAAATGCGTCATGGGGATTAACATTATATCCTGCTGCACCAGTTTGTGTTCAGTCACTGGTTTTGTTTTTGTGAAAGGAGAGGATGGAACATATAGGCCATATACCAACTGACTGTTTGACTCCTAATCACTTGTCAGGTAAGGAAATGACCAGGCCAGTGGTGAAGACGAAACTCGTCGGGAAAGTTGACTTGTTTACCAACCAGTCTGACCCAATGAAGAACAAGACCAAACTCAGCTCTGAGATGAACAACGCAGCTGCTGTGCCACTGAACAACCTGTCCTGTACTTCTTTCCAGTCGAAAACTGACAATAGAAACAAATTTGATCCTGAAAAAAAACGCTCCAAGTCACTGGAAAGAAAAGGGTCCAGGGGCACATTAAGTACAGAGATGGAGAAACATGGAAGTCTGGAGGAGGAGAAAGATGAGTGGGCCAAAGAGTGGGAGAAGATGAAGCCTGTGTCGGGAAGGAGATCAAGCAGAGGAAGTACGAGAGTAGGGAGAAGTCTTAAAAAGACATTTGGGCCATTTTATGGATTAGACGACGACATGTCGCCAGACTTTGTTCCATCCAAGAAAAAGAACTTTGTCAAAACCTACAATAAAGGGAGTCAGGCAACCAGTGTGTACACACAGCCTGACCAAAAGCTCAGAGGTAAGACACAGGAAGTTTTCTTATCTGGTTTCAAAAGCTACTAACACATGTTTTCATTAACCCTTGTTAACATGACACTTTCTCAGGGGTGTAATGGTACATGTATTTGGTTTTGCAGTTTGCGACAATCACATTCCCACACAAATGTGTATCTGTGTTGCCTTTTAGCCAGCAGCACAAGCAGAACTGTCCAAATTTAAGGGCTGCATCCTTCAAAGGACACAGTCTACCTAGTACAAGTAGGTGGGTGTCTGTACCAGATGCCAAGTCCTTCATTGACCAGGAAGACTGGAAATGAACAGCTGCGAAATCTGATGGTCTTAACTTGTTAAAACCCAGTAGAGTTAAAACTAGGAATGCTCGGCTTGTTTTTACTGATATACCAATATTGTGAAAGTCTTAAATTTCTGATAACAATATAAACCAATATAAAATAAGCAAAAAAAAAAGTTAACATTTTAGGCGGCAAATGTCTTCTGTCATGCATGCCTAAACAATATCAGTGAAAAATGACAACTAGTTCAATTTAAGCTAGTAATAGAAAAAGTGCCATGTTTATCTCCAGCATTATGTTGTCAGCTCCACAAGACTCCCTCGTGGGCCTAAAATCCTCAACTTATTGGTGTATTGATTTTAGGCCATATCACCCAGTCCTACTGTCCATAAATTTGTTATCTTTTTGTTAATACATTATTTTTGTTCAGTGCAAGATGTCGAACATATCCATAAAAGTTTTAAACCTTTCTCTCTCTCTTTCTGTCCATTTCTCTCTTTGTCACTGTCTCTGTTACTCACACTCTGGTCAAGCAGAGGCAAAGTCTGCTGTCTGGTTCAGAAGAGACACCAGTTTGGATACGACTGGGAAGCTGTGGGTTATTGTCTTTAGTTTGGCCACATTTATCTAACCAATGCAATCTTTTCCAGAGGAGACCATCCATAGGATCATGAACCTGAAACTGGACATTGAAGGTGAGGGTTTTGCCTTGAGAGTTCTCATTTTATTGGACCCAACAACCGGTCAGCTCTGGGTTTTGGATTAGATGAAGGGGCAAATTCTTGCCTGCCAAAAGTGACAAAAATTGTAGCTCCCCCCTCATCAACTAGATGCTGTATCCAGAAAGGAGCAAGTTCCCATTGACTCCCATGTCAAAAATTCCAACCACATAGGAATAGACATGTTAACAGCCTGCTACATAAAACAACTTTAGGTTTATTAAGTCAAGTTTTCTGTCTTAACAAAAGGAGGGCAGTTAATTTTTTATGTTTTAGTTTTTTGGAACTTTTCTGTTTAGGTGTAATAAAAGCCAAAAATTATTAATATATAGGGTTGTGTCCATTTCATTGATATGTAGCAGATAAGCCATCCCCCAGCTAGCTCCAAGGAGGGCCTCAGCTTTGGCCTCCTGTTAGAAGTGTTACAACCTAGAAGGCAGAGAATAGCAGAGTCATTCACCCACCCCCCAGTCTGATTTCTAGCAGTGTTTGGTTATTGGACTTCTGTGCTTGGCATTGATTGTCCATAATGAACACCATATTCAAGCATAAAGGTGTCCATATGTGCTCTTGGCACCAGGATACCTTTGGCCGCATCTCAGTGATAGACTTATATGTCGTCTCATCTGATCTGTGGCTGCATGTCTTGGACACTCGGGTAAAGAGAGGGTCGAAGCTGTGAACTGACCACTACCTGGTGGTGGGGGAGGATGCCTGTCAGACTTGGCAGGCCCAAACATATTTTGAGGGTCTGCTAGGAACGTCTGGCAGAGTCTCGTGTCAGAAGAAGTTTCAATTCCCACCTCCGACAGAACTGGCTGACACGGCTCTGCAATATCGCGTTGGCAGACTGGGTGGTGGTCCCCCAATTTAAAAAGGGGGTGTCAGGGACTTGCCCAAATCAGCCAGAGACGCACTACTCATGAGACTCAAAAACCTCCATTTTATTTTGGAGCAGCTTCACAGGTAACAGAAACTTTAACCCAATCACAGCACAAGACCATCTCCAGAAAACAAAAGACATTTCAGATACACCAGGTTCAACTTAAATAGTGGCTGATCAGACCACTCTACATACAAGAGGGGAACAATTAACATACAATTAACACACACATCCTCACACACACACACACAAACTAACCAGTCTAATCAATTCAGGTAACTCAAATAACTAAATCATAATTACAAACTTCCTATCCCTAACAGAAAACATCTACATTAAATTAAACACAAGCATAAACATGAATCTCCCCTCCCTTGGGAGTTGGTAGATCCCAGGAGTGCCGATTAGGCTTCCTGAGGAGATGAGCTGCAGGTGTGAGACTCCATGGGAAACTCCAAGTCACTGGTAACTCAAAACAGAAACACAAAATTAACACATACATTCATAAACAGAAGACTGATTGTGTGCACATCAACCAGTCATCCTGGACAGAACACAGAAAACATCACCAGCAGACCATGTCCATGAGGTGACAGACACTGCTGTCACAGGGGGACAGCAGGATGTGTTCCAACGACAGGGGGATCACACTTCTGAGCCTCTCTGGTAAAGTCTATTCAGGGGTTCTGGAGAGAAGGGTCTGGCGGATTGTTGAACCTTGGATTCAGGAGGAGCAATGTGGTTTTCGTCCTGGCTGTGGAACACTGGACCAGCTCTATACCCTTATGGGGGTCCTGGAGGGTGTGTGGGAGTTTGCCCAACCAATCTACATGTGTTTTGTAGATTTGGAGAAAGCGTCCGACTGCGTCCCTCAGGGGGCCCCTAGGGGTGGTTCTTCAGGAGTGTGGAGTACCAGGCCCTTTGTTATGGGCTGTTAGGTCCCTGTTTGACCGGTGTCAGAGCTTTGTCCGCATTGCCGGCAGAAAGTCGGGCTCATTTCCGATGAGAGTCAGACTCAGCCAAGGCTGCTCTCTGTCACAGATTCTGTTCATAACTTTTATGGACAGGATTTGTAAGCAGAGGAGTGGCTCTCGCTTAGAAAAAGGGTGAGAAGGTCAGTCATCCGGAAGGGGCTTGGAGTAGACCCGCTGCTCCTCCACATCAAGAGGTGGCTCAGGCATCTAGTTTGGATGCCTCCTAGACACCTCACTGGTGAGGTTTTCTGGGCAAGTCCAACTGGGAGATTACTTAAAAGAAGACCCAGGACACGCTAGAGAGACTCTGTCTCACAGCTGGCCAGGGATTACTTTAGGTTTTCCTGGAGGAGCTGGCCCATACGGCGAGGGAAAGGGATGTCTGGGCCTCCCTGCTTAGGCCACAGCTCCTGCAACCCGACTCCGGATAAGTGGCTGAAGATGGATGGATGTACCGCACAATGCGTAATTGAGTTCCTACACACAAAATACGCTCAGATCTGGGCGTAAGTATGGTTGATAAATGAGGCTTCGGGAATCCAAAGAGAGGGCACTGCAATATTATCTCTGTGATGAAGAAAGCAACCTGCTCTGAACCCGGCAGTTCCTGTGGTGAACCCTCACTAGTTGTTGTGGGGCTTCTGGTGTAAATGGGTCTCAAAGATATAATTTCCTTATCATAATTCTAGATGTTTATTCTTTCACATTTTTTATTCAGTTAAAGATACCGGAAGAAGTGACTAAGCTGTGTTTTGTGCAGTGCAGGAGTGAGGTTCGGGGTGCGTATGTGCTATGGTTGGGTGTTATGATAAATTATTGACAGGTTAATACATTTGCGGGCCATTTCTTATGAGTGATATATTATTTTTATGCCTACTAGTTCCGGATGGGACATTAGACTTCCATATTAAATCAACGTCTCTTTTTGCAACACTTGTTTTCCACTGAAATATACATGCATACATCATTATAAAGTTTTGATTTCTGTGATTCCAATGATATTTGGCTATCAAGGATACAGCTTACTGTAGACGCAATAAACCATTTTGTCAAACCACTTGGAAATTTCTAATGTCAAAATCACCTTTCAAAGCCCCTGACAAATCAGAGCAAAGGGTAGATGAACTTTATTGTCCCCAAAGGGTAATTTGTCTTGTACCCAACAAGTTACACTTACAGATAAATTATGAACAGAATACAAAACAATAACAGTAGCTTAAAATAGATTAGGACATAAAGTTTCAATGCATCCTGGAATGGAGCTCTATGCCAATGAGCATGTATTTTATATGGGTGCCTATGGGTCTGAGTCACTCCACATGCCTTTAAGTCTAAAGATTTTCAATCAGGAAGGAACTAAGCTCCGCTGTTAGGGGTTGTGTAAATCAGACTCTAGATACCCAGATCAGATGTTGGAGCCAGAGGGGATATTTGATTCCTTTTCCATAGCCAAGTAAGGCCAGTGACAATATGACGCAGCTGAAAAGGAAACAGGCCATGTTAAAGACAGGCAAATCAGAGCTACTGCAGTATTTATGTGGAAGAGCTGATTTTCGCAGTGTGGAGTAGATAAAGGGTAGCATGTGTATTTGTTCCATACATTTTGCTAGGGAGAAGGCCCTAAGTCTGAGCATAACAAGCCATACTACTCTGATGTGAAGTTACCCAGGAGGGAGCAATGTAAACGACGGGGTCCAGCTAAACGTGTCTCTCTCTCCATCCCAGGCCAGGGTCCACGATACAGAAAGTGAGGAGGTTGATTGGTTTGGCTGAGTGTGAAGAAGGAATGTCTATCCTGTTATAAAGAGTTATGTATATTCAGTAGAAAAAAAGACAATGTCACTTTTGTATGGTTGAATTTAAACTGTGAATAAATGTCACCGTAGTGCGGTTTAGCAAAGGAACCTAAACCTTGACAGTTCTTGACAAACTTCAGCTCCATCCAAATGTGGATAAAGTGTGTGTGTGTGTGTGTGTGTGTGTGTGTGTGTGTGTGTGTGTGTGTGTGTGTGTGTGTGTGTGTGTGTGTGTGTGTGTGTGTGTGTGTGCGTGTGTTTGCTTTGTCTTTTCAAACCTCCAGTGAGTCATGGCGGATGGCTGCTTGTACTGAACCAGGATCTGTTGGAGGTTTCTTCCTGTTAAACTGGAGTTTTCCTCTTCACTGTCACTACATGCTTGCTTAGTATGAGGATTGCTGTAGTCTCTGATGCAGCAAGTCCTTGATGCACTCTGCTCAGTTTTCTTACATAGGAAACTTTTTAACTGATTGGCATAATGAACTGTACTCAACTGGAATGTTAACTCCGTGAAGTCCCTTGAGACGAGGAAGCTAAGGGGAGCCAGGCCTCTTTGAAAGGGTGACGAGCTCCTCTAGAAGCCCTCAATTTATACACCCAGGGTGAGTCAAAATAAGGGCCAAGTTTCTACCTATATTACATTATTCATATGAACTCTCAGCTTACCAGGCCTTTGTTTGGGCAAAGATGACCGAGAGCGGAAGAACACTGATTATTCATGCGCTCCAGGCAGCTGCATCCTAAGCACTACCACAGTGACATTCTCAAAGTGGCGCCACACAAAAAATATAGTTAACACACATTCATATTTGTTCGCTCATATTATCTGGTAATTTATGTCATTTATTCATGCCTGAATTGCTCTGATGCTGCGGAGCTCATCACCCGTGCTTCGGTGACTTCACCTCGCTGGAACAGCCGTGCAGCGTGCACTCCACTAGTTTTGCAGGCATTAATCCATTTGATCTGCTTAGTTCAGAAAAACTACTGTCTACATCCTACTTTTTCAACTGAGAAGTTATTTTTGGAGGATTGCGAGGAGATGCAGGAAGACCGGAGACAAACAGGATGGAAAAATTGTCTAATAAAATAACAGAAGAAAATAAAGTGCTAAAAAGGAAAATATAGATAGATTTATCCCCACTACACGTTTTTAACTTAATAAAGCAAAAATTTATAACGTAAGTCTATAATCTCAATGGACTTCCCGGAAGCCTCTGTGTAATTCATACCCTGGTGGTATGTAAAAAGTAGTGACACAAATACTTACCTCAGATCAAATAAAAATAAATACTTTACACTTTTTCAGTTGCCCCTCTGTGT